GGTTGTTGTTGAAGGCTTTGTCAAAAATGAGTTTGTTGAGAAATTGAGGCTTTGCTTCTGGAATCTGTATCATGTTTCATTGGTCCATATGTCTGTTCTTATACCAATACCAACCTGTTTTGATTATTGTAGCCTGATAGTAAAGTTTGAAGTCTGGAAGTGTGATACATCTTGCTTTGTTTCTTTTGCTAAGGATTGTTTTGGCTATTCGTGGTCATTTATCTTAACAATGTTGATTCTTCCTATTTATGAGCATGGAATATTTTTCCATTTGTTTGTGTCTTCTTGATATCTTTGAGCCGTGTTTTGTAGTTCTCATTGTAATGGTCTTCCACTTCTCTAGTTAGGAAGATGCCGAAGTATTTCATATTTTGTGTGGCTATTGTGAATGGGATTGTGCTTTTTATTTGGTTCTCTGCCTGCTTGTTGTTGGTGGATATAACTATCTTTATGTCCTGTATTTGGGCTTTTACTTTGGTAATCTGGATTCATCTGCTAATGTTAAGGTTTTGGTGGTCTTGTCTTTCCAGCTCCCTTAGGTGATTTGTTAGGCTGTAAACTTGTGATCTTTCTATTTTCTTGATATGTGTTCCAGAGATATAAATTCCCTTCTAGGAACTGCTTTCATGGCATCCCAGAGGTTTTGGTAAGATGTTTCTTTGTTTTCATTTGTTCCCAGGCATCTTAATTTCTGTTTTGATTTCTGTGTTGACCCAGAAATTGTTCAGCATCATGCTGTTTAGTGTCCATGTCTTTGTGGGTTTGGGGGGAATTTTGTTGGTATTGATATTTATTTTTATTCCACTGTGGTCTGAGAAGGTGCTTGGCAGTATTTTGACCATATAAATTTATGCTTGATTTATGGTCGAGGATGTGATCAATCTTGGAGTACGTTCTACATGGTGATGAATAGAATATATATTTCGAGCCGAGCTCTTTATATATATATTTAATCCCGCGCTTTGGGAGGCTGAGGTAAGTGAATTGCCTGAGCCCACAGGTTCGAGACCCGCCTGGGCAACTTGGCGAGACCTCATC